ACTCTGGAATGTGATGGATCGAATATAGAGCAGTCCTTTGACAGGAGAAAGGCGGTGAAACCTTAAATTCAGCTTTTCATTGAGTGGCTAAGGATTAGCAGGTATCGGAGCATTTGCTAATATTGAATAAAGCCGAACAATGAATTGGCCGGATACTTTTGTGCCCACCGAGCCACTGCGCACTTCAACGAAACGCTTAAACGGTTAAGCCAATGTCCCCGAAATTCTCCCTTACTCAGCTTAGGGTTTAGGAACGCCCTATTCAAAATACTGATTTTTGAACAAAAAATACTCATCGAACCAATTTTTGAGTTTTACTCTTTAGGTTCGGCCTTTATGAGGTATGTATGGCATGCTGGTGAGTTAAAAACCAACCATCCACAGTCATGAAGTTGTTCTCCTTGGCTTCTGGTGCGGGTTCGTACTGCTCCACGACGTTCTCACAGAATTCCGTCGTCACACCGGACATCTGCAAATTATATGGGTTTCAGGTAAGTTGTGCCCATCTTTATTGGCTACTCTTTCATATTTTCGTCTTCTACAAACCGAAAGTTCGACAATATCTCAAGAAAACCCACTCCTTGTTCGGTTTCAAGGAAAAGCCGCAAATCTTGACAGCTCAAATAGTCCTTGTTGGCGTAGCGTACCATTAGGAAGTAAACTTCCGGTCGGGTTGCTATCTCCTTAAAAATGTTAAGGAATTTTTGACAACGAGTCTCTTCAATAGTGGGGATCATGAAAAATCGCGTGGAGGTTTATAGGTAGGTTCCACAGGGAATATTAAGTGTCTACTGTAAAGTAATTGTATCTCGAGTTACGGTAAATCACTCTGTAATGGAAAGTGCTAGAAATACTTATTTAAAAGTGAACTCGCCCAGTATTGTTGGACTCCCCATGAACCTTCGGTGGTACCAATCGGGACTAGAGTTACCCATACATTGAATGGCTGCTTTGATAGTCCACGATTTTTCGAGCGACCGATCGCGCGATTGGTCGAAGAGCCACTAGCCATGGCCACCGGTCGCTCGGTCGCTTGCTCGATAGGTCCGTGACCCGTCGCCAAATCGTGGACTATGAAAGCAGCCAAAAACCGAAAAGTAATTACTTGCATTTAACTGACTGTAGCTATAAATATAACTACCTGAAACATAGTCTGGAAATAGTTGCATCCAACCCCTCTGGTCACGTACCGTTTTTTGAACTCCTTTTAGAATATTTTCGAATTTTCCTTTTTTATCGATTTCGCATTTCTTTATAGACTGTCCCAGCAATTCATGCCATTCCCTCCACCCTCCCCATCCCCACAGCGCAAGAACCACGAATCTTTTGTCAGCTATGAAAAGGAAGCTGGCAATTGTAAAACTAAAACTCAAGATTAAATTAAGCTAACCTTATACAGTTCGATAAATTCTTCTCTTTGGATTCTTCCCCTTTCTACGCCTCCAAGACCACATGCGGCTTCCTGGAA